CGTTTTACAACTTCATTGAAACGACCATTTCGTCTTGATCTATCATTGTCAAAACATGATCCTGATTATTATACAGCTATATATTCATCTAATAATCCTAAGTTTGAACATTTATTTGCAACATTACGTGGTTCAAAAGAATTATATTTTACACCAAGTGAACGAAGTTTATTAACATATGAACTATTAACAAGAGCTCATTCTGATGATCATGACGAAGATCTTTCACAAGCACCACCGATCGGACAACCAAGTCACTAAAATTTAAAAATAAATTCATATCTAATTTATTTTACTATTTAGAGATAAATACCGTTGTTGCATTACGGGAAGGTGTAAGACGACCCGGTATGATTTTATCATTGATTTAACCAGTCGAATATGATATATATTACAGAAGAATTTTATGTAATAGTTCGGACAATATGACTGTATAAGTTGTCAGCAGCGATGATCATAGAATTCTTAAAGTCTACTGACTGATCCACAATATGAGCTATCACCGTTTATTTGTACATTAAGATGTATTATATTCAACTTAGAATTTCCACTTAGTATAAATTTACGAAATGAGGATCTTGAGTTACAGAAATTTTATTCACTAAGAATTAGATCCTAGTTATTGACTTTCTTTTATTCTATTTAAATTTCAGGAATTGATCGATTAATAGCCAAAAAAGCATATGAAAGTTATTTTCCTTTGCATGAAGTAAATAGTTTAATTTTCTTTTTTAAAATATAACTCGAGTTTTGTTTGCTATATTTAAGCCTTTACGAGATGATGTCCGAGATATTGATGATGAAGAATTAAATGATCGAGAAGTAAGTCTAATTGGTTATCATTTAAAAACTATTACCGCTTTTTTAATAAAAGAAATTAACAAAGCATTGGGCAACAATGCGGCAATGTTTTAAATTTCAACCATTATCTCTAATTCGTTCATATATGGGTGAAAAAATTGCATTTTATTTTGCATTAACTGGCTTTTATAACCAAATGCTTATTCCACCTGCAATAGTTGGTCTAATTATATTTATATATGGTGCAGCATCTGTTTTTACTGATACACCAACGTTAGTTCATTTGAATATTAGAAAGAAACACAACTAATTCTATGTTTTAATTCTAGATCTGATATATGTGGAAGTTATGGACAAAGTACATATATGTGTCCACGATGTGATCTAAGTTGTCCATTCTGGAAACTAAATGAGAGTTGTGTTTATTCAAAAGTATTTATCAGCAACAATATTTTTCTTGTAAATAAATAGCATGATGTTATAGATTTCATATGTATTTGACAATATAGCAAAAACAACGGTTGCTATATTGTCAAATACATATGAAAT